TGCGATTGGCACAGGATAGAGCAGGGTTTAGGGCTGTTGTACATAGGGTCGTTATGAGTCGCAAACGACTCGACGGCACATAACAACAACAACATCAGTTCTATCTGATACTGTGATTCTGTGCATTCCCTTCATCTTCTTTTAATGCTTTCTGAGTCATTCAATATATTGCCAGGAGCCTCTTTCACTACTGTGACTCGAGGCTTAAGTTTGTTTTTTAGTTCATTCAGCTTGAGAAATGCAAAGCAAGTTCTTTCCTTTTTATTCTCAGATTCCAGCTCTCTGCACATTTCATTTTAATACTTTGTCTTTCTGAGCTGCCCTTTGAAATCTTTTGTTCAACCCTTTTTCTTTAGCATGTTTTCATTCAGTACAATTTTTAGACTCTCTTCTGACATCCATTTCAATTTTTTATTTCTCCTCTGTTTTTGCAATGACCTTTTGCTTTCTTCATGGGTAATATCCTTGATATTATCCCACAACTCATCTGGTCTTTAGTCATTGGTGTTCGATACCTCAAACCTATACTCAAGATGAGCTTGAAATCCAGATGGAAGTGATTCAAAATCATATCTTGGTTACTGTAGACTTATTTTCATTTCCTTTGGCCTCTATCTTAACTTGCCTATGAGTAACTGATGGTCTGACCCACAGTCCACCCCTGGCCTAGTTCTGAGCTTCTCCAATTATTTCTTCCACAGATGTAGTCAATCTGATTCCTATGCAGCCCATTGTCTTCATTGTTTGTGTCTTTTAAAAAGAATTATTGAAGACACAAAATTCAGTCATTGTATTTCCAGCCTCATTTCAAGCACCAAGCCCATATTCTCCTACTACGAGTCTCAGAAAGCTGGACAATGACTAGGAATGATAAAGAGAGAATTGTAACCTTTGAGGTGTGGTACTTGAAAGAGTATAGAACATATCATGGACTTCTAGGGGAACAAACAGGTTCATCCTTGAGGTTTGTCCTTGGTGAAACCAGGCTGCTCCTTAGAGGCAAGGATTTTGAAGCTTCATCTGACATACTTTGGGTATGTTGCAAGGAGGGACCACTCTCTTGAGCAACATTATGCTTGGGATTGCGGAGGGACAGTGCAAAAGAGGAAGACCCTTGATGAGATGGATTGACTCAGTAACTGGGATGAAGGGGGTAGGTGTGTCAGAGACGACAATAAGTTTGGCTCAGGATAGAGTAGGATTCAAAGCTGTTGTGAATAGGTTGTTATGAGTCACAGGCAACTTGACAGCACATAACAGCAACAACATCCTTTCTTCACTGTTTCCCACTTTTACATTTCCAGTCACTAATTATCATTAACCCATCTTGATTGCATGTTCAGTCTTTTTAGAAATTTTGGTAAAAATTCTCAATTCTTTTTTCTCTTTGGCTCCAGATGTAGTAGCATATATTTGAATAACAATTGTGTTAGTGAGTCTTTCTTGTATTCATATGGATATTATCCTGTCCTTCACAACATTATATTTCAGGATAGAACTTGAAATTGAGTGTTTGACTATGAATGCAACACCATTCTTCTTCTGTTTTTCGTTGCCAGCAGAGTATACCATATGATTATCTAATTCAAAGTAGCCAAAGCTGGTCCATTTCATCTCACTAATGCCTAGTATGTTGATTTTCATGAGTTTCATTTCATTTTAAATAATTTCCAGTTTTCCAGTGTTCAAGCTATGTACATTCCATGTTCCAATTATTAAACAATGCTTGTTATAGTTTTTCCTCATTTCACCTGACTTCCAATCTGGGATCTATCACTACACAACCATAACTATCCTCATTCCCCTAGTGTTCAAAGGGTTTTCAAAGGCCTGCTATTTAAGAAGTAGACGGCCAATCCTACTTCCTAGTCTGTCGTAATTGGGAGGTCCACCAAAATTTGTCCATCATGAGTAATCCTTAAGGCATTTGACACATAAATGGCACAGGTTTCAGTATCACAACAACCCTAAGTTATCTCAATACAGCAAACAGACAAATGTAGTAGAACATTATAGAACACAAACACAATCAACACCAAAAATGACCAGTTTATACTCAACTTTCAATTAAATCAAAACAACTTACCTTCCAGAATCTAACTGCTTAACATAAGAGACTCCAAACGAGAACCTCTTTGGCAAGACCCAACCGACTTTTAAGTACAAAGTCCTGCCTACCAGGTACTGATTTATTAAACAAGAGGCTTCCAGCCCACAGCTAATGGATTACATCTCAGTGTCAAGAAAACAAAGATTCTTACCACTGGACCGATACTGATTAGCAACATCATGATAGATGGAGAGGAAATTGAATCTGTCAACAGCGTCATCTTGCTTGGATCCACAATTAACAACCTTGGTACCAACTGTCAGGAAATAAGGAGGCATATTGCACTGAGAAAATCTGCAGCTAGGGACTTCTCCAAATTATTCAGGAAAAATGATGTCAGCTGGAGGACTCAGGTGTATCTAATTCAGGTCATAGTCTTAATGCATAAGGATGACAAAAAGAAGAACTGATGCCTTTGAGTTGTTGTGTTGGAGAAGAACACTAAACATCCTATGGACCGCCAAAAGAACAAACAGGTATGTCTTGAAGAGGGTACATCTGGTGTGCTCTTTGGAAGTGACAATGATGAAGCTTCACCTCATATACTTTGAGCATGTTGATAGAATGGG